GTGTCAGCCCCGCGATCGCGGCTGCAGCGGCGTTCCAAGCCCAGGAGGGGAAGGAAAAAAAGGGGGGGGGAGATATTAAACCGGGGGGGCGGAGCGAGAGGCCTCCAAGCCCCGCCCACCACCTGCGGCCAATCAGGGAGCCTCGTCCTGGACCAGCCGCTCGGACCGGTCTCCTCTCTTTCTCCCCCCCCCAAAAAAAAATGCCACTCCGCCCAGATCCTTGGCAGCTGGGCGGTGGTGGATCCTCCCGTCCGGGCTCGTTGCAAAAAGGGAAAGGCGAGCCCACGAGAGGGGGAAGCAACCGGGGAGGAAGATCCGAGCAGCTGAGGTCAGGCATAGGTACCGCCTTTCCACCTGCGCGCCCACCTTTTTCCCTGCCGCGACCCCCCCAAAATATAATTGTTGGGAGGTGCCATCAAGTCAGTGAGGACCGATGGAGACCCTAGGAATGAGCGATCTCCAACATGCCCCCCCTCCTCAACGGTGCTGCTCTGCTCTTGCAAACTCAAGCCTGGGGCTTCCTTGAGGGAGTCAGCCCATCTCACATTTTCTTTTCCTCTTTTCCTACTGCTTTCCACTTTTCCCAGCATTATTGTCTTTTTTCCGGAGAATCCTGCCTTCTCAGGATGGGCCCAAAGGAGGACAACCTCCCTTTCAACATTTCTGCCTCCAGAGAGAGAGAGAAAGAGTTCAGGCTTGCATTTCCTTCTCCCGGCTTTCATTTCCTTGTCCTTCCGGCTTTCCAGGGTATTCCCAAAGCTTTTCTCCCAGCAGCACATTTCAAACAAATCAAATTTAATTTCTCCGTCTCGGCCATCTCCTCGCTGTTTTTGCCTGCCTCCCTCAGGAAGGGAGGAGGAGGAGGAGACCGGCATTTGAGAAGGAGTTCCTCCTGGCAGGCCAGCCCCAGGGCCGATCAGCAGGTTTAATATTTTCCTCCTCCACCCCATGTAACAATGGAAGGAGTGGGAGAAAATTTATCCTCCCATGCTATTTCCTTTCCCGTGGATACAGGTCACCGTTTCAGCAAGGACTGTCCGTTTAGACACCTGGGGCAGGCAGCAGCATCATCTCCCACTCAGTCCACCTTTGTGCCAGAACCTCTTAAGAAAGAGGAGAAGCTTTTCAAGGTATGTGAGGCGATCACGGAGTGGGTTTTATGACGGCCACTTCTAGTGAGTTTCCAGGATGGAGATTTGAACCCAGATCTCGCAGAGTCTAACGCAACTCTGTGGCCATAACTGGGCTGCGGAGGTCCTCCTCTATGCATCGAAAGAAGCAGGCTGCACTCCACCCCAAGGGTCTGCAAAATAAGGTTTGTGCAGCTCTAGGCGGCCACGAGACTATTTTGGATCTGCTGCCACCGACTATAGATGGACCGAGCGACACGTCTGGAAGCGTATTTACAAAGTGCCACAGTTGGCTCTGTTAGGAAGTGGAATGCAGGGAACAAGATACAATAGGATGCCCCCAGTATCTGTGAAGGATCCGTTCCGTGCCCCTCGTGGATGCTGGAAAATGTGGATTGTAACAAACAATCCTATTTTGATAATGAACACTATGGTTTCTGGCTTCCTCTAGTCACGGCTCGTTCTGGTTATTTCATCTTTAGAATTATGTTCTAGAAGGTTTCTTTGAATACCTTTTCAGACAGTGGATAAGTGCATCAGTAGATACTGATTCTGCAGATATGGGGGACTCTCACTGTACAGCCAATCGAGCAGACCAGAACAGCACCTACCAGTCAGAACAGGCAATATTGGGGTAAATAGACAAGGAATTGGCCTCCCCCCCCCCGTCAATATGTACTCCATCCACAAGGCATTTATGTGTTTTGCAGGTTGATGCTATTTTGAAAGACTTTATAGAAAGAACCATGTTGAATAGCGAGTCATTGGGTGGTGGCTGATGGTTTTTTCCCCTTTTAAGCTGCTGCTTATCATTTATTATGGCAGATGTAAAATATTTGTGGTGGAAATTGATACAGCAGCATCGGAACAGGATCTGTTTGAAGTGTTGCTGCAGCCACGACGTCATGTCTTCTGTCACTGGGTGTGAATAAAACACTTCCTCCAGATTGTCACCAAAAGGCACAGGGGGGGAAAGAGTTGTGAAGCTGGTTTATTGGCCCATCACGTGGGACACCAGAAGCTGCTCTGAAGTTTCCAATTTGATTCCGGCGGCAGGGGGGAGCACGTGCGGAATCAGGAACCCGTTCCGTCGCTGCAGGATGTTTAAATACAGTGGTGCCTCGCTAGACGATAATCCGTTCCACTGAAATAGCTGTTTAGCTAAATCATCGTCTAGCAAAAAACAAATCGTCATCTAGCAAAAATCAGTTTGCGAAGCAGGGACCAAACATTGTCCAGTGAAATTCCCCCACAGGAACCACTGTTTTGCGACTCACTATAGCAATCGCAAAAAGTCAATGTCTAGCAAAAAAAAACTGTCATGTGGGGTAACTGTTTAGCAAGGCACCACTGTACTAGACAGCTGCAATCCATTCACAAGACTGCTACCCAATCAAAGACCTGGGTCATATCCTAAATTTATGTTCATTGGCAATCTTACTGGCAAAAATGTCCCTCTGAGAGACGTGCAGTGGTTTCCAGCCTTGAGTCTCCAGATGTTCTCGGGCTCCAACTCCCAGCCATCCCAGGCCAGCACCGCTAGGGGTTGCAGGCTTCTGGGAGTTTTCGTCCACAAACATCTGGATTACCCAAGGTTGGGGACCAGTTTCAAATGGGCAAGACTCGGGCTTGTTCAGAACAGAAACCATGAGGGGAGGAAAAGGACAGTACATTCAGGGCAAAAAGGATCAGGATGCTAAGGGGTCTGAAAGCCAAATCCCCAGAAGGCACAGATGAAAGAGTGGAGTATATTTAGCCCGGAGAAAAGAGGAATCAGTAATATTTATGACTTGCTGCACAACTGGAACCATGGAGTAAAAACTGCATGGCATCAGATTGAGTCTAAGTGTTCTAGGCTCAAAGAGGAGAAACATCACCTTCCACCTCATTGCTAAGTTTATTCAGCAGTTGGACAAAATGTCTTAAGAGAGACAAGAGGGTTTCTTTCACAGCAGCTAGCTTCCTTCACAAGAGGTCTCGGAGTAGCATTTGGACACAGCCCCTTCCCGGCCTCCCGAAGTGAAGGAAGCACCGGGCTTC